AACAAAATGTAAATACACGACACAGAATTTCTGAGCAAAAAAATCATAAGGCTATTGTAAGAATAAATGAAACTTGTTTTATGCTTTCAAATTAGACATGCTAAAACAGAATTTGGTTACAATAAAACAAAAGGTTGGACAAATAAAACATTCTATAGGGCTCTAAACGTAATATTTGTTACACTTTAATAAATGAATGTTAAATTGTTTAAGTTTCATGATTTTAATTAATTAGACATGATTTTTGATTAAAAAAATGTAATTTAACCATTAAAAAGGAGTCCAAAAAAAAAAAAAAAAACGGAATCTACCCGGAGGCTAGACTAATCGATTCTTGGGATTTAAGAATCGATATAGTTCCATAAAAATTAGAATATTTTTTACTCCGTCCTAGTAAATAACCATTCTGAACTGCATTCTCACAAGGGTGAGGTAGGAGTAGTCTTAAATACAGTGTTATTTTAGTGTAATTTATATACTATTAATATTCTGACTTGGCTTTTATTTTTAGATTTCATAGTTATTTTGTTATGGGCTTTTTGTCATTTCTATTTAGCTGTAACTTATTTTTTGTATATACTTTTTAGCTTTAATTGTAGTCATTTTAGTATTTAACAATTTCTTCTCTTCCACGTCAGTCTTCGACACCCATTCAATGTGTGTGCATTCGTCTACTTGCAAACAAGCCGCAGCGCATCCGGATTCTACGTAAGAACGCCGGCTACTGCGTCAGCAGCACCACATGTATGTGTCATGATACTCTGAAATAGACTGAAAATTCAGCTGACAGTTATTTTACAATGTACTAATATTTCACACTAATATTATTTTGACCAAATAAATGCAAGACAGACCTAAAATAACCTCTGTTATCATTGGTTCTGTAGAAGTGATGCATCAGTTATTTTCAACAAGAAAGCAGTAGTTCAAAATGATGATTCGGAGATGAATCAACAATAATTTTTTTAAGAAAGTAAATAAACGTCCAGGACCAATACTTAATAATAAAAAAAGTGGATGGTCACTGCTGAGCTATATTACAAAATCAAATAAATGACATGATAATTAATAATTGAAATAATGACTCACGAGGTGCCATAGAGAATGGCAGAGATGTTTCTCATGCTCCACAGGCTTGTAAAGGGTATTAATAGCAGCAGGAAGTGTGTCACTATAATTAATTAATTAATTTTGTCATTTCTATTTAGCTTTAACTTATTTTTTATATACACTTTTTAGTTTTAATTGTAGAAAAACTCTCGTGAAAGCGCGTCAAAGACTGACACGGCAGAGAAGAAATTGTTGAATAAAGTTGGTATTTTTGTTTTCTTCGCACACAAAAAGTATTCTCGTAGCTTCATAACATTAAGGTTGAACCGCTGATGTCACATGGACTATTTTAACAATGTCCTTACTAACTTTCTGGGCCTTGAACGTGTCAGTTGTGTTGCCGTCTATGGAGGGTCAGAAAACTCTCAGATTTCATCAAAAATCTTAATTTGTGTTTCAAAGATGAACAAACGTCTAACGGATTGGAACGACATGAGGGTGAGTAATAATGACAGAATTTTAATTTTTGAGTGAAGTGACGTGACGTGACGTGACATGTGGCCAAGTATGGTGACCCATACTCGGAATTAGTGCTCTGCATTTATCCCATCCTAAGTGCACACACACAGCAGTGAACACACACACACCGTGAACACACACCCGGAGCAGTGGGCAGCCATTTTTTGCTGCGGCGCCCGGGTAGCAGTTGGGGGTTCGATGCCTTGCTCAAGGGCACCTCAGTCGTGGTATTGAAGGTGGAAGAGAGCGCTGTACATTCACTCCCCCCACCTACAATCCCTGCCGGTATGAGAATCTAACCCACAACCTTTTGGGTTTACGAGTCCGACTCTCTAACCATTAGGCCACGACTTCCCCAAACTATCCCCGAACTATCCCTTTAAACTTATTTTATTTCAGTTAGTTGCAGAGGCAACATTTTGTAGTTTTTCTTTTAAATGTTTTCATTGAATATTTATATTTTAAGATTTATTTCAATCAACAAAAACTATTTTAATAGCTTTACTTTACAATAACAACTCTACAGAAAAACAAGTCATTACCTCTTTTGCCCCCTTCCTTCCTTTCACAGAGCAGATGGAGAGACAGAGGCGAGCCGCCCGCGGTATGTCGGGAATGTACATGTCATAGGTCAGCCACTCGTTCCACCTGGAAACAGAGAGATAATGTCAGCATGATATACATTTTTAAAATGTATCATTTTGCATTTCAAATGTCTAACACTTTTAGAAGTCATAATGCAGTGCGTGACATCAGGGGTCTGGCAACCTCCAGCCACCACTGGCACACTGAGGGCAATCACTGGCATACGGGAGAAATTAACATGACTAATTATCATATGGCCAGGGCCTACTAGACTGAAGTAAATCTATTTACCCACTGACAGCATGGACCTATTGGTTTATATGAGTGGTACAATGCCACTCACACACTCTGCAGTGAATTTAGCATAAATGAGGGGGATATTTTGAAATGAGACGAGGTGGGGTGTTTATGTGTCACAGTAATTACCAAGAAAAATGACACTACGTCTCATTAAGACTGCAGACTCGTTTGACATTTAAAGACAATATAGCACATCTCCATACTTCGGTTCACTTTGGTTTTTATTACATTACAAAGAAGTATGGAAGCCTTTTTATCATGCAATTATGAGATAACCATGCAATTCAGACTTTTTCCAAAGAATTGTGAGTTTATATCTCACAACTGCACTTCATGAACTTAATATGTGATTCTGTGCATTAATATGAATACGAAACGCAAAAATTTTTTTTTTTACAATTTTGTAATACAGACAGACCCTTTCATCCATGTATTTAGGCTTCTGTTAAAAAAAAAAAAGATATCCATGGTGGAAACAGGCTTCCCTAGGATTTTGCATACACTTTCTCTCAGTAATGAATCAACTGTTGTATCAGATAGGACAAGTGATCACATAGTACCTTGGGTTTGAACACGGCACACGCTGTGTGTTGACATTATCACACAACTGTTCTCCACCATGGTAGATCCCTGTCCGCACATAAATCTGAAACAAAAGGTAAAAACCTATGAACAAACAGCCTCAAGAAAATGCTAGTGCAGAAAGGTCACGCAATTATTAAAAGAAACACAAAAGCAGCTTCCTGTTCTTTCACAATGTCAAACTTCTGCTATCTTACCAAACACTTCCCATGCTCTTTGTACAATAAAAGACTTTCGGAATACAAAAAGACATCAGCTAAGCACCTTGTCAATGTCCCGAATATTCACATTAACGTATGTGGCGCAGAGGACCCGTATCCTTAGTGTACTGTTAATGGTCCAGAGTGATTTGGTGGAGGCCTCTCCGTTCATGTAAGGCGTGGCGGTGGAGATCCGGCGGGCGTAGGAGGGCATGGTGAAGTTGTCCATAGGCAGCTGAGAGTAAAGACTGTCCTTGGACATAAGCATGAGGTTTGGCAACCGACCCAGCATAATGCAACTCCGTACATACTGAAAGAACGAGAAAGAGACAAGCAGAGAGAGATTTCGTTAATAAAGCCACATAATCAGCTCATCTCATGGACCGTTAAGTCATCCAAAATGTCCAGAGCTATTTTTAGTGTCCTAAACTCTAATTCTGGCAGTATTTTTTGTTGGGATGATACAAAACTTCAAATGCAGCCGGATACTGAGACTACTCATTTGCATTCTGTGTACTGGCAGGTTTTGAGATAATGAAAGTCTGAAACAAACACATGACCAGTGCCAAAACCCTGAAAAATCTGAGACGACTAGACATTTCAGATGGCTAATTAATCAGTGCCCAAACCATAAATATGTACGGGATAAAAGCAGCATGAGAACTAAAAAAAAAAGTAACACAGAAACTTCATTCATTCACAGAATAACAGATGGTTATTCAAGAACATTTATGCAATTGTGCAAGTTTGAGGTACTTTAGTGAGGCCAAAATTGCCTAAATACCTTGTACTGACTGATGGGGTACTTTTCCAACAGATACTCGTCACAGCCACAGACTTTCAGGATGTATTTGCCCTGATATTCTTGCACGCACATCTTTAGCTGCTCGGCTGACAGCAGCATGCTCCTTGTCTTCTTCCTGATGGCTTCGGCGATCACCTGCTCAGGTACGCAGTCGTGATTGATCTTAAGCGTGTACTTTTGCTTGTCGTTGTTGGGAGAGACAATCACCCAGATAACCACAATGATTTGACCTAGCACACAAATAAGAAGATTGGAGCGTTAACAGGAACAGCATTATTGAATTGATTCCTTCAGGCATCAAGCATGTGAGAACAAACAATTAATCCCACATGGCAACTGAGTGTGTAAAAAAGAAAAGCTGAATGTTGAATACATCCCAATGAAGTTGTCAGGGAATTAATGTAATGGAGTTGTTGTTCATACATTCCTCCAGGCTAAGAGGAAACAGAGGGCAAAAGCAAAAACAAGCATCACATGCTTCATGACGACTACTACTACTACTACAACACAAGCCCATTCACATAAGAAAGAAAACAGAATTGCTGCAATACAAAACCTCCAGGAAAGACTCGACACTTTGACGATTACTATTGGCAACAACCCATAAAGAAACATTCCATGTCATTTTCAACCCCAGAATCAATGTGCAGCATTTGTGGCATGCTGTCGATTACCACAGCCAATAGTGTCGACTGGTCCGTCAGTGTGTATAAACAAAAACACAATCAAAGCCTAGCAGGCAGTTGGGCAGCACAATTAATGAACGTACATGCAACATGCAAAAATATCACACTGTTTGGAAAGTACCTCTTCAATAATGTGCTAGCATAAGACTAGCATGGTAAATCACAATTTATATCAAATATAAAATGATTGATTATATTTCAAATATTTTAATGAATCTATATTTTCCTCAATTTCCTTTAATATTTAAAAAAATGATGTTTAATTATTTTATTTTAATGCATTTTAATTCACTGTAAAATAAAGATAAAAATTATTTACTAAGACATTTTAAAGCATGGGAATTAGGGACTTCCTTTTATATATCTGAAGAATGATGCAAAAGAAATTGCTACATCGATATACTGATTTTTTTATATATTGGTTCAAAATAAGTGAAGTTTAGATGAGTTTTGATGCTCACATACAAGTCATGACACAAACACGAGACAATATTGGTCTAAAAAACACTGCACTAAAAACACTGATTAATGTATACATTTCGTATTGTATATAAATATAGTAACAGAAAGGAACCTAGAATCATAATGCACTGTTCTGCAGTTCTGCTATCTCTGCCCACAGAAATCACACTGGTAATGCATAAGCAGAAGTGCCTAGAAAAGTTCTCACTTCGAATGAACTAAAAACGTCTCAAGAAAGACTTTTTTTATCTATTGAAGAAAATTTTAAGCATCACTCAATATTCTGTAACTGACAACATGCCACAACTTGAAATAACCCACAACATTCCTATAAAAGTACAAGCCTACCTTTGTCTAATTTGCCATATATATGCTTTGGAAGCTCTGGTGAAGACTCCACGTTAGGAGGATAAACGTATAGCGCTCGACTGTGTGGCCCACTGACATCTCGCAGCTCTACTGAGTCTTTGCAGACATTAAGAATATTTCTCCTAAAATCCTGCACCTCAGGATCCTTCACTAAATCAAACTCGCACACCGGCATGCCGATGGCAAAACCTGAAACACACACACACACACACAAAAAAAAAAACACCATCTTAGAACAGCATCAGAAGAGAAGAGAGAAAAACCTTCTGAATCAAATACGCTATTATTCAAAGTTTAGGGTCAGTAAAAATACAATATTACAAATACAGTAAAACCGTAATATTGTGAATAGCATTATAATTTAAAACAACTAATAACTGTTTTTTTTATATATTCTGAGAATTTTAAGAAGTAATTTATTTCAGCATCATTACTTCAGTGTCACATGATCCTTCAGAAATCATTCTAATATGCTGATTTGCTGCTCAAGAAACATTTCTTCTTACTATTAATTTTGCAAACAGCTGTGCTGCTTAATATTTTTGTGGAAATCATGATACATTTTTGTATTGTTTGATGAAAGGACAGTTCAACAGCATTAATTTTAAATGTGCAATATTATAATTGTCTGTCATTTTGATCAATTTAATAAAAATTTTGCCAACTAAACTTTTCAATGGTAGTGCACATTTTTCAGAAATAGTGATTTAGGGAAATTTGTACAAATCTGTCATCATTAATGATTTTCAATTCAAGTGTTTCAAGTGATGCATATAGTAAATAAAGAAAAAACCAGCCCATGTGTGGTCTTACCGATTTCTCTGTTGAGGATTTTTTCCTCTCTGTTCCCTACAGGTTCTATGACCTTTAGGAAGGGCTGGAATAGCCGAAGGTCGCAAAGTCTTCTCGTCTCATCGTAGAACTCCTCACGCTCTGCCTCTTGCGTTACACTGACGAAAATATAGGAGGTCTCTTCCTGCAGCAGGTGGTGGAGGGGGTACTTCCTAGCCTCCTTAAACAGTTCATGTTTGATTGTGATGAGAGTGGCCTCCCGGAGGCACTCTAGTGTCAGGATCATGCCATTGGGCAGTAGACAGTCCACCAGAATCCTGGGGGGCATCAAATGGATGCCCCATAGTTCTCCCGAGGAGGGTCTTGGAGGCATGATGTAAAGTCCTCACAATCTTCAATAGGAAAAAAAAATCTCCAACCTCTGTTTCTCCTGAAGGGGAACAGGACAAATAAAGTATGTTTTGGCAACATGTCTGATATCATGCACTGTTTTTAATAAACTCCACAGACAAGACAAAATGTTCAGTATTGCAAACTACACCTCAGATAAACAAGTCAGCATGTCCAACAAACAAATTAGGTCTTGAGAGACAAAGTCAGTAACGAACAGGAACACAGATCGCAAACAAGCAAAATAAACTTGAATGTAACAATGGTGATGCTACTCATTAACCTGTGTTATACTCTACCAGTTTGGGGTCTGTAAGATGTTTCCACAAACATATTAAGCAGCACAACTGTTTTCAACATTGAAAATAAATTTGAGCAGAATGATTTCTGAAGGATCATGTGAAACTGAAGACTGGAGTAACGATGCTTAAAATTCAGCTTCGTATCACAGGAATACATTACATTTCAAAATATATTACAACAAAAAAAAACTACTAATATTTTTACAATATTACTGTTTTCACTGTATTTTTATTTATTTTTTTCAAAAAAAACATTTAAAAATATCTTACCAACCCCAAACTTTTGAATGGTACCTAAAAGACACACACACTACTACTAAACCATGAGGACAACGGAGTCATTAATTTGCGGTCACATCACTTACATCAGTCTTAATAACAAAAACATGCTTACAGGAAGTTCAGTACAACCCAACATCACTGAGCAACGACAGAAATGTATCACTCTGTGAGAAAGGAGCGATATTTCCACACAACATAGAGCCAAAAACATTTGGCACTTCATACTGAAGTGGATGACTTGTTTTCCCTTGCAAACATGTGCCAACAAAAAGACACCCTTATGCATCTCCTGGGTGTAAGGCTGCTGAAAGCAATTCCCTCGTCTGACAAACAGCATCTTTCACCATGTTAATGTGTGATCTGAAATTATTGGATTTTAAAACTAGGCCATGTGAGATGAACACGTCAGATCTTTTGTCCTGACTATGCTCCTATGCAGTTCTTCCAGTTTATTCATGTAAAACACCATGCAAATGTTTATTACAGAGCTTTGTGAATCTTGGCACTGCCACGGTTGTAACCACTTCATGCTTTCACACTTTTTAGTGCTTATTTTTTTATCTCTACACAGTAAAAAAAAAAAGGAGAATCAAAAAACAGAAGAATCAATATTTTCATAAGATTTGGTATTTTTGCTTACCTTGTGTGATGTTAGGGCCACTTGTAAAAGTAAATGTCCATCATAGTTCAGACCTCTATCTGATCTGCTTGATTTAGAACTTCTCTTCAGATTCACTGAATTATACTGAGACAACAGCAAGGAGGACAAACATTCAGTGTCTAGTGGAAAAAGTGGACCAGCTTGCTCAGTTTAGCCAAAAGCCCATGCCAACACTGCCAACCACAACAAACCTCCACAGCAGTGTTTAGAGTGACAGAGATGGGAAGATAATAAGATTAAGAGGTTTATCATTCTTGCATATGAATAGACCAAGCCACAATGACAGAGAACCAGTTGCTAAAATGAACTATTTATAGATACATAAGTCAAGTTTATTACAATAACTTAATGTTGTATTCAAGTTAGTTTAAACCACTAGTCAAAACAAACACACCTGAATCATGACAGAGCAGAAACATGCACTAATATGACTACAAACCGGCTTACTACTACACTGCTAAACAAGAGTTTCATAAACAAACTGAAATGTATAATAAAGAACTTATTGAAGTATTTTAATCCATTAAAACACATTTTATAAACGTAATATATCTTATTAAAGCAGAAACACATTTGGAAAGCTCATATATATGACATTAATAGCCAGCTAGCAATCCCAGACAAAACATACTAACTAAAAGAAAACTGCCATTTATATTTGTCAGAGTTTAAAAACGCCAAAATAAAAAGAAATATGAGTTGGCGTGTAACTAAGCTATTAAAGACGGTTTATTTCTTTAAACAATAAGATATTGATTCCTTTAGCCACCTAGCCGCTAGGCTAATCCGCTATAGCTAACCCGATAACTTTCAGATATAATATGCTGTAATATCTCGCCGAAGACGCTTCATTAGATTATACTCTGAAACCACACCTCATTTTTTAAAGACCACCAGAGTTGTTATTCAAACAATGAATGAATAAACAAATATCTCACGTTTATGTGTATAGCTAATATGGGTATGTACCGACGAGTTGTTGTGAGGTAATCCGCTGTTGGTGTTCAGTCAGTCGTTCAGGGCTGTAAATCCAGCGCGGGGCTTTGCTGGGCCTCTAGCCGCCCCGCTCTGACACGCACCGCCTCTCCATCATCACAGCAACAGCGGCGGCGGCGGATCGCGAGCAGTGTTTTCACACAAATCATTCATCACTGAGGGAGAAGGACGAAATACATGCTGTCCAAAATCCGATGGATTGGATAAAAATCGTCAGGAACGCTGTCACGATGGAATAAGGGAGGATCCTGTGAATAAATAAGCACCAAAGTCGCCGGATAGGTAAGAGGGAGGGTGACTGGCTGCTAAAGAGGAAGAGGGACAGGATGACAAACCCAGTGAACTCCTTTTTTCCAATCGATCATCCCACTGTGGTAAAGGATAGCCATATGTTCAACAAACACGTGCTAAACAAGCGAAATAAGGTGTGAATCTTGTCAGGAAGCCCTAGAAATTGTATACCATCTTCAGACTGCAAATATATGCTTATAAGCTGCATATATACACGAAAATGTGTGCTTGATGCTACAGGCGCACACGAATTGCAATTGCATATATAATAATGAATGTTGAATGTGAATGGGAGTGAATAGAAACATGTTTCAAATATTGAATTATTAATAAATTAGGCCGCATACGCAATTTTCTTCATCGTTGTCTTTACAGACACACAGTTTGTTTTTATTTAATCCGTACTAATTTAGATCTGCACAGTTGCATATTTAATAATAGATTTATAATTACAATAGATGGTTTGTTTATTGACAGTACTATGCTTTTATTTCTTTCCATGAGTGTAAAAATACAGAGAAATTATACTCTGTATTTTTATTTTTATTATTATTATTATTATGAATGACTGACAAACTCAGTTAAAAGTCATGGTCAAAGACCTTGCCAAAACATACTTGAATGAAATTGTCACATACTTGAATAAGTTGTCCCAATTAATTGTAAAATATGTCATCTCAATTTATTGTTGATTATTCCAATAAATATTTACTTTGTAGTTTGAACGTCGAAATGGATTTTTAAGGAGCATAAAGTAGCCTTGGAAATTAAGCCGAGTCAAATACAAGTATTCGTATTCAGTATTACTCGCGGAAGGTACAAATGTATACACTACCTCAAGCAGACTACTTCACACACCGTTTGTCAAGTCACCGGCTCGCGCGTGCTGCTGAATCGTCGATCAGATTCTCACTTCGATAGGAGATGGACTGTACCAACTAGGCTAAGGGAGACGTTAATGCAAATTGCACTATATTTCCGACCACTGGAATTATGATTACGAATACGGTTTTCCAATGCATGTGTTATCATAAATCAAATCTCCCTCTGTCTCATTTATACAACATTTCCCACGTATTTCTAGTGTTTTTGAATCCGTATGCGATTGAAAACACCCCCCTGCTGCACGTTTGAAGCACGCGACGCACGTCTAGCTGGAAGAAGTTGAGCACCAGAGAGAGCTTGGAAGGATGCAGGGAAGATGGCGATGAATGTAAAGAACAGGGATGCTTTTTATCCAAGTGCTGACTATTGCGATATCTACACCTCTCAGCCTGTAAACTATGGAGACTGCAGCCATTATTTCCCTCGGATGACAGGTAAGATAAGGCAATGTTTTCGAATGATTTTCAGTGCATTGCGTTATAACTGATGCTCTGCATCAAATTTCATTTGCACTGCAATGGTTTGAAATAGGAGTTTATTAGGGACCGATCTTTATTTTTAAATAATGGAAAAGATTTATGAGAAGAAGGGCCTTGATGTCAGACTAACCACTGACAGTTTGAGAATGGAAATCCCTATCTGCATTGCCAAAGGACCATGGCACATCAAATGTTTTTTCACATTTCAAATCTCACTGAAATTCTTCAGGTACACCTTTTATATTTTATGCCACTCTGTTTATATTATATGATTATATGTTGCTTAAGCTCTGCATGGATGATATGTGGTTGCATTAGATCAAGTAAAAAAAGAATGCATACAAGCTTTTTAAATATATACCTTTTTACAGAGAGTGGACTAATAATACGTTTTTTTTATTAAATGAAAAATTATGCAGAATAGAGTATGAGGCAAGTTGAGTGAGGTATCTGGTAATGTTCCGCACATGTTCATTGTCACATTTTAGTCTAGATTGCATATGAAACCAATAAATATATGAAGGGACATTTAAGGTAATTGATTATTTTTGGCTAAACGTCCCAGTAAGAGTCCATAAGGTCACAATTTGCAGTCCAGGTGACTACTGTGGGTTTTATTTATATATAAGTACTCCTTGGCAGTCGATTCATGTGACATCTAATTAAAAAGGCCATACAGTACATAAAAATGCTAATTTTTTATTTATTTTACATGATAGCACTGTTTCTGCAAATCATGGATGAAGTAGACAGTGAGACACCATACAGCTCTGATAAAAGTACTGAAATGCATCTGACATCAAAACAGAAGGATGAAATGTGCAATCGTAATAAACATTGCAAATGTGCACAGAGAGCAACCGTGCATGTAATGCATTTATTCTGCTCTCAATAATTGATGCTGTCAAAGAACAATTGTACAATGCACAAACAGCTTAGTAGTGTTTTGCAGCAGTGAGTGGTGTAAAACAACCTGGAGCATCAAGTGATGGTACTGCTTTACCTTCTCATGTGCCCTGCATACCTTGCATTATAGATGCCCATCGAGAACAATCCTCCCAAAATCTAAAAATCTTTGTTCCTTGTGCTGATGAAAGAGCAGATTTTTGATGTCGTGCTCCAACTAAACTTTGCATTGCTTCCAAAAAACAGTGGATTTAATCCGAATGGAGAGAGCAGGTATTTGTCCCTGACCTTGAATTGGGACTGTAGGTTCTACTTAGACCTATTTCTAGGCATGTATTCTCTGATGACCAAGAGATATCAGGTTTGTTTTCAGGTCAAAAGAAGAGGAATATAAAAGGGTAGGCTACTGAATTTTTTGTAATAGTGTAAATGAATAAATAAGTAATAATAAGTAAGACTGCAAGTTCATAAGTTACTCTTTTTTATAGCCAGACCAATGCATGACCAATGAAAAGCAACCACAGTCCAGTTTTCTAATGGAATAGTTCACCCAAAAATGAAAATGTGCTCTAAATTAACTTACTTTCAGACCATTAAAGATGAAGATGAGTTTGTTTCTTCATTAATTTAGTATTATATCACTTGCCCTCCAATGGATCCTCTGCAGTGAATGGGGAGTCGAGAAATATGCACAGATCAAGCGCTGTTTATAACCCAAAACAGCTCTAAACAAATATGTGGGTGGACTTTCATGTGAGAGGACAACAGTGGATGGACTTTTTCATCGGAGGAAGCATCATTATGGATTAGGACTGGAATTTTGGCCAGAAGCTTGACATTTTAACGTTAAAACATTTTACTTATGTATTTGTTTTTTACAAACACGCAGCTTTTCACTTCACAAGACTTTTATTGATGGACTGGAGTGGTGTGGATTATTGTGATGTATTTATCAGCTGATTCTGATGGCACCATTCACTGCAGAGGATCATTTGGTGAGTTAATGAATTATAAATTGAATTATTCCAAAGCTGTTTCCTTGAAGAAACAAATATACATCATCTTCATCTATATCTTGACTGGCCAGGGAGTGAGTAAAATACCTCATAGCACAATAGAACACCTGAAATGTTTTTTTCAAATAATTGCACAGTTCTTCTGTTTGTTTAAATGATCAGACTTTGACTAAACCAACAATTGTGACAATTTGGGGATGGGACTAACTTGACCAAACAACTGGGGATAAGGAGAGCATTTGAGACCTGATAGGAACCATTTATATTGAAAATAAACATTTAAAATGGAAATACATTAACAAATCCGTTTATGGATATAAACGTTGGGGTATTTAAGAATTCCAAAGAAGGGCCTTCCAATGCTGTCACCGTCCAAGCAACCGGAAACAGAACCATTTGGCTCATTCTTATGTCTATTTTAGTCGGCTGAATCATTGTTGTCATGATCCCATCGGAACTAAATTGATACACTGGAAATATCACACAGCCACGAAACTCTCCACCCCCCCCACTTGCTCAGGCTCAGATCTGCCGAAGCAACAAACATGCGCTGAGTTCAGGAGGCAGGAGTCAGGCCTAATCGCATCTGCAGGAGGCTATACGACAAAGATTCACTCTTTCACTCATATATCCGCTCTATTATTAAAATGAATAATTTGCAGTACTAATATTTGGCTTTTACATCACTGTTTTATGTAGCAGAGGAGCTCTGTTACTTTCCACTGCACAGAAGGAATCAAAAATTGTTCTTCTATGACACAGTTCCCTTTTGGAATCTATATTTTTAAAGGAGACCTATGTAATGTAAGTCAATAAAGACAATGTGTAATATAAGTCTCAGTTGTCGCCAGAATGTGTCTAACGTTTCAGCTCAAAATACCCCACAGATAATTTATTATATAATTTTGAACATGCCTATTTTGAGTGGAAGCAGAAACATGCTGTTTTCATGCATGTCTCTCTGTGAGTACTAATCTAAGTTCTCTTTCGTGTCTTATTGCGCTTAAATTGTCAAATACACACGAGTTTGTTAAAAACACACATGAGTTACAAGAACAGTCGGTTGAAGGTAAACAGCTGGGAAAGAAATTGCATGTTTATATCATATCTGTGTGGCAGCAGCATAATATACGGTAAATAAATCAATAAATCACTGCTCTCTTGTCTCCTCTGAGGCTGGGACTCTAAATAGTGTTCTGTGCTCGTCAGTGCAGCCAAAGACAGAACAGTTAGCATGCTATGCTTGAACTTTCACCATTGCATCAGAACTGGTACACCGGTGTCGCTTGTGAAAACACTATGGCGGCGCCGTGGGTGAAAACTTGCAGATTAAGAGGCAATAATATTATAATAAGATCCCCATTCTACGTCAAGAGGGGAGCAAAATCTCAGCAGCTCATTTTTTTTGCACTTGCAGAGAATGGCTTACCAAAGAAAATTACTGGGTTGTTCTTTTTTATGTTTTCTGGGTTGGTAGACGCACCGGGGACCCGATTATTGCACTTAAACACAGAAAAAGTCAGATGATATGTCACCTTTAAAAGCCCAATGCGTTTTCCTATTTAAAAACATAAGAGGCAGAGCTTTGGAACAAAAAATGCTAGAACGCATTCTGTGTGTAAGGCCCTTAAAAGCGTATTTACTCACTCTGACGAAGCTATGTGACGCTTCCTTCAGCTCCCCCGCTGTGGCCCAGGCACACTATCAGGGCAAGAACCACGCCAAAAGACTGCGGCTAGCCAAGGCACAGCAGAACGCCACATCCTTGTGAGTCTGTCACACCCATGTGCTCCCAAATAAAACAGCCGTTAAACGTGGGAAATCCCTCCGTGTTTGAGGGCTGTGTTTTTTTAATGATACATCAGTTTTGCAGTTTGCATAACTAATACACTCGTATGAATTTCAGCCTCAAATCTGGACAACAAGGAAATCCACGTACACATTATGCATCAACTAGTAGGAAGTTTTGCATGGAGGAAGAAGTTTTTCCGGTTAGCTTTATCTTCAAGCTGTTTTTGCATTGATAAGTGGGGCATTCGTTTTAATGCCACTGTTGGGCTGTCCTGATAGCAAACACAGGAAGATACATCCTATTGCACTCCAAACGTCTGATTGTATCTGAGAAAACATGACTATGGCTAGTTAAGCTACGTTTGAATCCCTCCCTCTAAGTAATTCAAAACAGTATAAGTCATTATAATCAGTAATTATGTCCCCACTGGATGCAACGAATGCCTCGTTTGTAATGGGTTTTAATGTTTATGTCTCGTCGCTGCGGCCGGACAGGGCATCAACAGTATTTCCGTCTCACGCTTGAGGTATTCGGCCAATCACAATGCACTGGATAGCTGGCCAATCACAGCCCCTCGCTTTTTCAGACCGATGAGTTTTGTAAAAATCTACGCGTTTCAAAAAGGCAGGGCATAGAGGAGAAACAATAATGTACAGTATGTGGAAAATAATGTGTTTTTTTTACTTTAAACCGCATAAACACATTTCATTACACCAAATACACAAAATAATGTTCTTTTTAGCAACATCATATGACCCCTTTAATAAAAAATTTCACAAATTTTAGCAAGTTTGATTCATTTCCATAAATCAGTTCAAACTGTGCAGTTGCATCATCATTTAAATGTTCACAGAAGTTTTTGTATAGCATTTTTTTGATTTATTCATTTTTTAAAATTTGTAGAAAATATTTTTACAGGTAAATATTGCTATTTTGTAGCAATATTGTTATATTGCATTGTTATATTTGAATGAATGAGGCACTTATTTGTGGATATACAGTACATGTAATTTGTCCATATAATCAAATATTTTAGTAAATCTTTTTTGTAGGTTTTGCAGCAGTATTCTAAAATTGTATTGTTATATTTGAGAATATACATGAAAACACTTCTTTGTGTTCCTTAAATAAAATATTCTATAATATTGTGAAATATTATTACAAATTAAAATAGCATTTTTTAAAATTATTATTAAGATACTGTGAATACTTGATTATTCTGGCTTAGATGATTTCACTTAAATATTTAGATTCATCTCAGAAACAAATGTTTATATAAGAAATTACATAATAGCAATTACATAAATATAAAGGCATATAATATCATCAAAACGCTGAAAAATATAAGACATATTTCTTAGCCATACTAAGTGGTAAATCATCTTTTCTTATGTGTTTTCCAGAGACTTGTCCAACACTCAGAGACGGCCACGGAAAGAAGGATACGAGTACCAATTAATGAAGAACCGTAGGGCTCATATCAATACTGCCATGCCAGGTACTCTGTCTACACAGATTGATCTCAACCGATAGTTTAGGAGAGACAGATTTTTGCCATCATGTTGATCTTGCCCTGAGACTATCCCTCGGGTTCTGTTTTCTGCCCAGTGGTCCAGGCTGTGGTGCAAAACCTCCATTTGCGATCAGTGCTTTGGCAGCAGAGTGCTTGGCAGCTGCGCGTGTTAGTTTGCCAGCCGGTGCTAATGTAGCTCAATGTGCTAGTCTCGCTAAATGCAGGCCAGACGCCAAGGCTTTGATCTATGTAAGCCGATACTCCACCCCACGTCAACCCGGGCTCACGAACGTCACCCACACGATGGCAGATCTCAGTCACACACATGCCCCCCATTGCACCGCACTCCTGTCCTCACATACGCACAAAAACACACGCTATTGCATTCTATAAGTGAAGCCGTTAGCTTTGCATGTGATATTATTTTATCAACTGGAAAAATAACTAAATTAATGCTTTTTCAAAATAATATGTCTGTTAGTTAAAAATATTGCTTTTTAGACTCTAACTTTCAAATGTGCATTTGCTAAACAAGTGTATCGCTCTACACTGAGATGCACTGATGTTTCCCTCGGGTGAGGGTCATCTGCTCTTATAATGTGCAGCAGAATATACACATGATGAGCCACAAAGTGTGTGTGCCAGAGTTGAAAAAATAAATGAGCATAAATATATAAATGAAGTAATATAAATTTTTGTCGGTGGTACTTGGAGTTACATAAACTTCTTAAAATGTACTTAAATCGGAATTATAATTATAATTTGCATCTTGCTTACTTCAGTTCAATTCAGATTCAGGAAGTGAACTGGAGTTTAAAAAGCATTTTCAGTTCACTTCTGAATTATGCATGTATTAATTAAGTATGGTGATTTTCCAACCTAATAGGTTTTGTATGATTGAAACATGCTTGGTTTTTTTATTTATTCTTGCAAAAAGCTTGCAATTTAAATTGTCTGTACACTGATTTGCCTTAAAAAGAGAAGAATATGAAAATTGGGGATAAAATCATGCAGTGTGAACCTGGTATAAATGCATCTTTGCTGAATAGAAGTATTAACTTCTTCTAAAAAAAATAATAATAATGAATTTTTTGGTGAAAATTAGCGCACAAACCTCAGTCAGCGTGACTTTGCATTTCAACGTGTATTTCATCACCTTGTAATATCTGCTTAGTCATGTAGCCATTTATTTGACGTTTCATTCATTCACACGACCTGACATGTTTCCTGTTTCAGGCCCTTACTACAACCCACGGCCGAGGCAGCGTATCCCACGAGACCTTGCGATGTGCGTCACACCCAGCGGGCAGTTCTATTGCTCGATGTGTAACTTGGGTGCCAGTGAGGAAGCGGAGTTTCGCCTGCACCTGGAGAGCAAGCAGCATAAAAGCAGAGTGTCCGAGCAACGCTACCGTAGTGAGATGGAGAATCTGGGATACACTTAAGAAGCAGCCGAAGTGATCAGTGATTCCCAGATCCTCAAGAATTAATCTTGCAATTCTTGAAGTAGCCACTTTTGTTTTAAAACGAAAGATGACGTTTGTAATTGTGCTATTCTAGAAGTACTTTATGAGCTAAAATTCGCACACACTGAAAAAGTTTATTTTGTGCCAGACAGACCATTAATTGGTGGCATGGACGGTTTAGGAAACTTTATTTAAGGGATATATATAAGAGATATCTAACAGAACGTTTCAAACACTCATAAGCGCAGATTTAGGATCAACTGGCAAATAATTATAATTACTAAATTCTTATCCTAAATCATCTTATGAGCAAGTACACACATATTAGAATATACTGCTCTGGATTATACTTTTATTATAATACAAAACAATACTTTCTGTATTTATGTATATGTCTAGCATTTTATTTAATTCTAATGTCTAACATCACCTCTAACGTGCTTTGGAGAGGTAATAAGTGTAAGCATTTTTTTCTCAGCTGTTTTTGCGTGAAGTTGATGCCTCAAAAAGGGACAAATCTAGCAGCAATCAGTTTCCTAAACAAGCAGAAGTGGCAATCCTACTCACTCTGAGCCATAGATTCACTGTGTTTCTTCAGGAGCTACAGAACGCACGCCGCCGTTCTGACGATCAGATTAGAGACTGCATTCCCACTCATAAGCGCAGATTTAGGATCAACTGGCAAATAATTATAATTCCTAATTAACGTGAAATGACTAAATTCTTATCCTAAATCATCTTATGAGCAAGTACACACATATTAGAATATACTGCTCTGGATTATACTTTTATTATAATACAAAACAATACTTTCTGTATTTATGTATATGTCTAGCATTTTATTTAATTCTAATCTCTAACATCACCTCTAACGTGCTTTGGAGAGGTAATAAGTGTAAGCATTTTTTTCTCAGCTGTTTTTGCGTGAAGTTGATGCCTCAAAAAGGGACAAATCTAGCAGCAATCAGTTTCCTAAACAAGCAGAAGTGGCAATCCTACTCACTCTGAGCCGTAGATTCACTGTGTTTCTTCAGGAGCTACAGAACGCACGCCGCCGTTCTGACGATCAGATTAGAGACTGCAGGAGAATCCACAGCGTGCCTGCTGAATGTACTATGAAAGCGATGACAATAGATCTACATCTGTCTGGCTTTGCACATGTTTACTAGATGTAGTGGGAGATTTGGTCTATTTCGGGGTGTACATCTGATATTGTTAACCAGCATGCTTCAGTGCGAAATTATTTGGGTGATTGTTGTTAATTTTTTATCTTGGATTATCCCCAGAGAATCTCTCCCCACACTAAAGGGAGAAATTGAAAACATGGCTATTTTTAATAAGGTCCGTGCCGCCCATGCCCCCTACCTCAGTCACAACCCTCTGACACGTTAACTTACCAAAGCTTATCTGAGAAAAGCTTATCTATTTTAATATTTTGTCTCCCAATATTTACTGAGGAAACCATGACCAGTTCATTCAGGATGAAAATTTTCTGAAATTTGACTCAATTGTACATGAATTTGTGTCTTCATCAGAACAGATTTGGAGAAATTTAGCATTCCATCACTTGCTCACCAATGGATCCTCTACAGTGAATGGGTGCCGTCAGAATGAGAGTCCAAACAGCTGATAAAAACATCACAATAATCCACAAGTAATCCACATGACTCCAGTCCATCAGTTAATGTCTTGTGAAGTGAAAAGCTGCATGCTTGTAAGAAATAAACCCATCATTAAAGAATGTTAACTTAAAACCATCGCTTCTGGCCAAAATATGAGTCCATAATCCATAACAACGTTTCCTACAATGAAAAAATCCATCCCCTGTTGCCCTGTCACATCAAAATCTAATTTTACATCTGTAATGTGTTCCGTTTTTGCTTGTAAACGGTGCTTGATCTGTGCATATTTCTCAGACAATATTAAGCAATATTATGGATAGAGGCTCATATTTAGCTGTAAATTAAGTTTAAAATATTTTAATAATGGATTTGTTTGTTACAAACTCACAGCTTTTCACTTCACAAAATGTTAATCGATGGACCGGAGTGGTGTGAATTACTTGTGAATTATTGTGATGTTTTTATCAGCTGTTTGGACTCTCATTCTGACGGCACCCATTCACTCCAAAGGATCCATTAGTGAGGAAGTGATGCAATGCTACATTTCTCCAAATTTATTCAGAAGAAGAAACAAACTCGTCTATATCTTACATGTCCTGAGAGTGAGTACATTTTCAGCAAATTTAAATTTTTAGGTGAACTATTTCTTTAAACAGTTACATTGGGACAAGTAGGAGCTGTTCAAAATTTTAGATGCTTTATGTTGTATTTGTTCATGGTTGCATGGTTTTATGCATAAACATCACCCTTCCCCGATTTTATCACTTAAAAGGCTATAAATATTTTATATAAGACATTTACAATATTATGAACAGAAGAAGTGACCCAGTTTTACTCTGTTTGTTTTGTTGCTCTCAATAACTCCTTAAATAAGCTATAAAACCACTCTTCAGAGTTGCAGTCCATTGTCACGAAATGTTTGGAATTGTAATTAATTTCTGATTTAGTATTATTTCTGCATGAAATTATTGCTGCTTGTACATATTAAGAGGATGATTGCAGAACTGAATTGAAAAGACAGTATTGTAATAAGTCAAGTCATGCTATATATTATTACACAGGCATCTATGTTCATTCAAATCAAATGTTTACAGTGGGAATCATCACAAGGGACTTAAGGGAGCGCTTGACGGACTAATGGACTCAGTGGAGCGGTGAAGTCATCTTAAATGTGCCTCTGAGCCTACTCAACTGTGATGTTGAACATTTCATGTTGTTCTGCTTTGAATATGTTTCCAGTAGGAGGGACTTACAGTCTGGCATAACGAGTAATGTTTTGCGTATTCAAATACTGACCATTTATGTCAAGCTCTTTTTATATAAATGTGATGAGATGTTTTATATGTATATATTGATAGAAATTTTAAAAAGATGACTTTGCATTTTAAACATGTTAAATGTTAATCTAACATGTTCATAGTGCCGATTATTCCATAAAATGCACCACTGATCATCTGTTTGTTGATTTGATGGTAGAAATAATTTGTGGTTTTGCCACTTGCAGTGGACAAATACAGCAGAAAGGCAATAGGAATAATTAGAGAGAGGGAATGGGATCAGAACATGTTGCAGGCCGGACTAGAACCTGCATTATGAGCACTACAGCTATAAAAAAAACTGTGGCGGTGTTTTCTACTGGTAGCCATTGTATTTGCTCCCAGAGGTTCACCAGAGGCAAGCCATATCCTGTTTTGTGCAGTCAGGAAGTTGTGACCCTATCTGGAAACAGACCTTCCCAAAGGAGGCCAGCAGGGACACTAGGATCTCCCCCCAAGGGAAAATCCCAGTAGTCTACTCCCTTCAAGCCAATTTTTCCCATCAATAAATACCTCTGTTTTAATTTACACTGAGAGTCGTATTTCACAAATGTTTTCTAAAGGATTAGCAGAAGCATTTTATTTTGAGGTACATCGAAATAAAATCTAGCTGTAGTGCCTTTTGAAGACATGTTCTTATATAATGGTTGCCTTTTCAGGTCTGAGTGCAATACAGACGATGTGATATTTATCTGACTTCTTCCTTTTTCCCCATTAAACAGTGGTTCAGTGTCTTGAATGTACAGTACAGATGAAAGAACATTTTAACTTTATTGTAAAGAGCCCTGGAACTCAAATTTTGAATGCAATATAATGTATTAATAAATTTAATTTAAAAAGCAAGTATTTCAGTACTTTGTCAGCATACTGGGTGTGTTTGTAATATAACCTTCCGGGATCAAGAAGTAGTAATTAAATTTTTCTCTTTTGTCTCTTTCTCATGGACATTTTAGTTCATCCCCTGGCTCGATATGTAACCATGAAACTGGCTTTATATTAGAGATGCACTGATTGAAATTTTCCTGGCCAATGAAGATTTCCGATCTTTTTATAAGTGTGACATGCCGATAACGATTTTTGCAGATTCTGATTTTCTTTCTAAGAACTATAATTGACGGCATATCCGAATAAAACAAAAACTCTCAAAATAAAGTGCTCTGTGATTGGAAAGATGTAGAAAAATTAACTGAAAATGAGTTGCTGTAGATAAAACAGTTGTCATTTCCCACTACGTTTATAATTTTCCCCCCTAACCTTTTAACGTGTGATCGTTCACATCAAATACTTACATTGTTTCAATTAATTCAGTTAAAATAATAAGAAACTGTAGAGTTGTTGTTACCATTCAGATGAATTCAAACTCCATCTTTCCACTGCAGAGGAAACAGAAGCTGCATCTGAATGGCATTAAATGTATTTACACAGACTGAGGTGCCAAAAATTAATTTACATTAATTTACGCAAAATTTCAAATGCATAAATAATTTTATAAGATTAATGTTTTAAATAATTTTTGAACATACAAATAAGAAATGTTGGGCAAATGCAATGACACTTTAAATATGAAACCAAACCACCAGTAGGTGGCGGCAAAAGACTATTTCAATGAGTGAGTCATTTAGTCATTCATTCAACTGATTCGTACAAACGGCTGATTCATTCAGACACGAGGCAAGTGACTATTTATGAATGGGTTACATTGTGAATGGTAAAAGAAGTTGTGACCCTATCTGGAAACAGACCTTCCCAAAGGAGGCCAGCAGGGACACTAGGATCTCCCCCCAAGGGAAAATCCCAGTAGTCTACTCCCTTCAAGCCAATTTTTCCCATCAATAAATACCTCTGTTTTAATTTACACTGAGAGTCGTATTTCACAAATGTTTTCTAAAGGATTAGCAGAAGCATTTTATTTTGAGGTACATCGAAATAAAATCTAGCTGTAGTGCCTTTTGAAGACATGTTCTTATATAATGGTTGCCTTTTCAGGTCTGAGTGCAATACAGACGATGTGATATTTATCTGACTTCTTCCTTTTTCCCCATTAAACAGTGGTTCAGTGTCTTGAATGTACAGTACAGATGAAAGAACATTTTAACTTTATTGTAAAGAGCCCTGGAACTCAAATTTTGAATGCAATATAATGTATTAATAAATTTAATTTAAAAAGCAAGTATTTCAGTACTTTGTCAGCATACTGGGTGTGTTTGTAATATAACCTTCCGGGATCAAGAAGTAGTAATTAAATTTTTCTCTTTTGTCTCTTTCTCATGGACATTTTAGTTCATCCCCTGGCTCGAT